CATCTAGTTCAGCTACCCACCCGATGCAAAAATTTCTTCTGCAACGTTCTTGACAAGTGGTCATTCAGCCTTTCCTTGTTCATATCCAGTGTCCAAGAATGCACTACTGCTGTTGAGTCCAAATTTGCCTTTCTGAAGCTTCCACTTGTTGACTGTTTTCTAGAGCTTTTAAATCAATTTGGTCACTCCCTATACTACTTCAGTTGGTTTTTTAAAATATAATAGGGGCACCTGGGTGGCTCAGGTGGTTGAGTGTCCAACTCTCGATTTCGGCTCAGGTCATGCATCAGGAGATTGAGCCCCACATCAGGCTCCATGCTCAGCGGCAGTCTGCTTGGATATTCTCTCCCTCTGTCCTTTTCCCCACTCGCACTCTCTCTAAAATAAATAAATAAATCCTTAAAAAATATATATCAAGCACTTATTGAGGGCTTACTATATTCTAAGCATTGAAGTAGGTATTTTATACGAACTGTCTTATTTAGTGATTACGAGCATCAACTCTGGAGCCAGACTTTCTGAGTTAGAATGGCTTGGCCATGTACTAGCTTTATGACTTTAGAAAAGTCATTTAACCTCTCTGTGGTGCCTTGGTTCCTCAACTATAAACTAGGGATAATAATAATCATGCCTACATGATAGCGTTGTTATTCAAATTAAATGCTAGTACATGTAAAGTGTTTAGAACAGTGCCTAGCATGTGATAAACACTACAAAAATGTTGTTGCGCTACTCACTGCTATTATTTCTATCATAACCTCATTTTACAGATGAGGAGGCTGAGGTTTAGTGACGAGATTAGGCCACTTAAGTACAGGATTTTCAATTATCATTAAATCACATCAGGAATTGATTATCCAGTGTTTGCTATTTCTTGTATATTTGCTGTTCCATTTAGCTTTGTGTATTCATCTACTTAAATAGATTCAATTCTGGGGACTCTTTTCAGTGTTCAACTTTCTCTAAAAGTTTAGAACCAAGAGTATGCCTTCTCCAAAAGAAGCACTCCTAATGTTATATTCTCCCATGAAACAAAATCATTCAGCATTAATCCAGAGATGATACAAGTGTGTTTAGAAAACAACATTATAAAATGTATCAAGAGGGGTGCCTGGGTGGCCCAGTTGGTAAGCATCTGCCTTCAGCTCAGGTCATGATCCCAGGGTCCTGGGATCGAGCCCCTCATCAGGCTCCCTGCTCAGCAGGAAGCCTGCTTCTCCCTCTCCCACTCCCCCTGCTTGTGTTCCCTCTCTCGCTGTGTCTCTCTGTCAAATAAATAAAATCTTTTAAAAAAATAAAAATAAAATGTATCAAGAATCATAAAATTTTTCAAAGCCTTTGATTCAGTAATCCCACTCTTGGAAATTTACTCTAGGGAAATAATTCAACAAATCAAGTAAGCTGTGTACCTGCAAGTCTTTCTCATGGCATTACCAGCTCCATCCCACAAAAATATATTAGGGGTAAAAATTAGGGGTATAGCTAGATAAATTATGATAAATAGACAGGAAAATTATGTAGTTAATTAAATAAACATTATGACATATGAAAACATGGAAGGAAGTTGGGTTTTTTTTTTTAAGATTTTATTTATTTATTTGACAGAGAGAGACCCAGCAAGAGAGTGAACACAAGCAGGGGGAGTGGGAGATGGAGAAGCAGACTCCCCGCTGAACAGGGAGCCCGATGCGGGGCTTGATCCCAGGACCCTGGGATCATGACCTGAGCCGAAGGCAGACGCTTAGCTGACTGAGCCACCCAGGCGCCCTGGAAGGAAGTTTATGATATTAAATGGAAAAAGAAAACCCAAAATTGAGTTATAATGGAAATTATCACTATTAAAAACATGTATTCTTGAAGACAAAACTGGGAGAAAATACCTCCAAAATGGAAATAATTCTGTTAAAATGGTACAATCACTAGTTCACTTTAAAAAAAATTGTTTTTATGTTTATACAATAGAATGCTATATAGCAATGAAAATGGACTAAAATTACATGTATGAATATGAATACATCTTGAGCAAAAAAAAGTTTCAGAAAGATACATATGACATGATTCCATTTATACAAAGTTTTTAAAATTTATAAATGCCACACTATGTATTATTTGGAGTTGCAAACATACACACATATGTGATAAAAGTTTAAATATTTGAATGGAAACACTAAACACCAAATTTAGGCTAGTGATTACTTCTGGGGCTAGGGAGGGAAATGTGACCAGGAAGAGATGACTTCTTAAATTCACTGGAGAGTAGACAGACTATTTAACAATATTATCTTCTACCAGTGGTTCTCAACTCCCCTGAGGAGTTTATTAAAAATACAGATGCCTGGGCCCCACCACTATAGATTCAGAGTCAGCTGGTTTAGGGTAAGGCCTGGGCCTCTGTCATTTTAAAAGCTCCCAGGAAATTCTAATGAGCACTGAGTTCTCACCCCTCAAAGAGAGTTGAGAAGTGATGTATTTTTTGGATAGCTAAAATATATAATAATGATTAAAATTGATCTTTCATGTTGATATATTGTTTGAGCAATAAAAACACGATTTAAAAAATATGTATCTTGGGGCACATGGGTGTCTCAGTCATTAAGCGTCTGCCTTCGGCTCAGGTCATGATCCCAGGGTCCTGGGATCGAGCCCCGCATCGGGCTCCCTGCTCGGTGGGAAGCCTGCTTCTCCCTCTCCCACTCCCCCTGCTTGTGTTCCTTCTCTCGCTATCTCTCTCTGTCAAATAAATAAATAAAATCTTAAAAAAAATAAAATAAAATAAAATAAAAAATATGTATCTTGGATTTTGCTTGACTCTAAATTAGAAAACCCTGCAGCTCTGCGGGATCCCTGCTGCCCACAGTGCAGAGAACCTTATGTGTGCATTATGGAGGAGTGGAACCAGTACAATTTAAATGGTCATACCAGCAACAGCACAACTGAAAATGACACTCCCACGGGATTGTTTTCCCGGCAGAGTGAATTTCACAAGAGCTCCCTTCTAGAAGGCAACTTCGGCAACCAGCAGCTTCCTCCTCCTCTAGGCCCCTCTCTCACCACTGTAATAAAGGAAAAAAGGGAGAGAAGCCCATCTGTTCTGTCTCTGCAAGGCAGACTTGTCAGATTTCCATGATGCCAGGCCAGCGGGTAAAGTGGCAGAATCACCCTGTGGGCCAAAAGGAGGATAACCAATTGCCTTCTAAGGCAGTGTGCCCTGGGGATGGTCTTGAATTCAGGAACAGAAGCCAAAGGAAGCTTCAGTGGCCAAGTTCTGGCCGCAGGTTAAGTAAATGAGGAAAAAGGAGCCCAGGAGCACTGACAGGTCTAACCACCCCACTCACCAGCTGTTCGCCCTCCCCAGCCTCTCCCTCTTCTTTGTTCCTTGCCTGTAGGCTCTTTGCATGGACTTCTGTCCTTATTCTTCCAGGTTTTCTTTAGAAACCAGAGTGGGGAGTGTGAAGGAGTGGATGTCAGGCAGAGATAAAGCAGTAACTTTTATAGCAGGACAGACAATAAAATAAATGAATTGTAGGAATGTTAAGGAAAGAGCCAAATTAACAGAACAACCTTTATGGACAGAGCTGTAGTCTCTTAGCAACTTAAAATCAGGTACTCTTAAAGACAAAAGAAATGACCTCTTTTGGTAAAACAATAGCAACTCACTATTGCACTATTTACTGCACAATCTGTCATCAGTGGAACCAAAGTTCTGACAGGACATTCGACACCTGAGGTCCTGTTAGTCCAGGATCTCGGCACACCAGAGTGAATATTCTTACTAAGGAACCTGAAAATCCCACTGGGTCATGGAGGGTTAAGCATGGGATTAAAAGAAAGAAGAGACAGAGGGGAATGAAAACAGCATGGCTGAAATTCATTTTATTGAAGGACCCAAGATTTTTTTTTAAGAATTTATTTATTGGGGCGCCTGGGTGGCTCAGTCGTTAAGCGTCTGCCTTCGGCTCGGGTCATGATCCCGGGGTCCTGGGATCGAGCCCTGCATTGGGCTCCCTGCTCAGCGGGAGGCCTGCTTCTCCTTCTCCCACTCCCCCTGCTCATGTTCCCTCTCTCGCTATGTCTCTCTGTCAAATAAATAAATCTTAAAAAAAAAAAGAATTTATTTATTTATTTGAGAGAGAAGGAGAGAGCACGCACGTGCGTGCAAAGCACAAGCAGGGGAGGGGCAGAGGGAGAGGGCGAAGTGGGCTCAATGCTCAAGGGAGCCCCATGTAGGACTCAATCCCAGGACCCCGGGATCATGACCTGAGTCGAAGGCAGATGCTTAACGACTGAGCCACCCAGGCATCCCATAGAACCCAAGCTTTTTAAATTGGGTATTTCAATAAAATGTCCCAGCTAAGGGCACCTGGGCGGCTCAGTTGGTTAAGCAACTGCCTTCGGCTCAGGTCATGATCCTGGAGTCCCAGGATCGAGTCCCACATCGGGCTCCCTGCTCAGCGGGGGGTCTGCTTCTCCCTCTGACCCTCTTCCCTCTCGTACTCTCTGTTTCTCATTCTCTCTCTCAAATAAATAAATAAAATCTTAAAAAAAAAAAAAATGTCCCAGCTAAGATTGCCTAAGGAGTGCCATGTTGAAAACAGTGACTTCCTTTTCTTAGAAAAGGGAATGTGTGTCAGTGAGTGGTTCTTGTGGCTCCTTTGTGGGAAGAAGTTCATCTGTAAAGGCTCAGAAAAGAGGACTCTCAATTTTCTGTCAACTGGAAGAACAGGATTAATTCAGAGTTAATTAAATCAGACAGATGTACGTGGAAACACACGTGGGCAAAACAGGAAGGGCAAGTAATACTACAGCTGCTATTATGCCTGGCATTCAACTTTTTTTTTTTTAAAGATTTTATTTATTTATTTGACAGAGACAGCGAGAGCAGGAACACAAGCAGGGGGAGTGGGAGAGGGAGAAGCAGGCTTCCCTCGGAGCAGGGAGCCCGATGCGGGGCTCGATCCCAGGACCCCGGGATCATGACCCGAGCTGAAGGCAGACGCTTAACGACTGAGCCACCCAGGCGCCCCGGCATTCAACTTTTCAACATTTATTTCTCCAATGCTAATCATCCTAGCATCTGAAACAAAAACTGAGGGATTAAGCTCTGTTCCAAGAACAGTTTTGATAATATTAATTATGTTGATAAACTCAGAAACAATAAAAACAAATCAGGCCACACTTCAATTCCAGTGTTTGCCAAAAACACCCCAATAACAAGAGAAAAATTATTTTCAGGCTTCTAAAAGGAGTCTAGCCATGAAGACCGAAGCAGAAAAACTAAAAGCTCTAGAAAGGAAAAAGAACAAAGCGTTTTGCTATTTCCATAACTTTTGTAGTCATTTTAAAGGAAAGGAACACTTTAATGACTAATATGTACCAGTGGTTCTCTGGAATTATGTGACTAAGTTATCTGACAGGAATTTGCCTCGCACTTAATTAGTCGTTTGTGCCATCATCAAGCAAAGTATGCCAAGACTTTTGCATAAGCTGATGTCTTCAGAAGCAAAGACCAGTCAGACAAGTTTCCAGATAGAAGTAAAAATAAATGCAAAAAAACGTAGAGACCAAGATTACATGGAGAAGACAGAGCTTGTCAACAAAGAGAAGACATATAATTCTTGGTCCCATGTGTATATTAATACTCGTAGTCCAATTAAAAACCCAAATTAATTTAAAAGTTCAACAAATCAATCAAATAAATTAAAAACTTACTCTCCATTATCATTTGGATATCTAAGTATACTACTTCTTCATCTATAAACATGACAATAACAGCTTATATATATGAGTTTCTTTCACATCAAGATGTCAAATGGTTATCTCATTAATCTCGTACCACTGTGAGGAAAATTGAAAAAGTGATGACAGTCCCATCAGTAAGTACATATAATCTAGAACATTGTTTTCTAAACCGGGTCACAGGCATAAATACAGAGAACAAACTGATGGTTACCAAAGGGGAAGGGGGGGAAGGGGAATGGGCAAAATGGGTGAAGGGGAGTGGGAGATACAGGCTTCCAGTTATGGAATGAGTAAGTCATGCTGATAAAAGGTACAGCATAGGGAATGTAGCCAATGATATTGCAACAGACGGTAGCTACACGTGTGGTGAGCACAGCATAATGTACAGGCTTGTTGAAATCACTGTGTTGTACACCTGAATTAGTCTAACATTGTGTGCCAACCATACTTCAGTAATAAAATAAAATAAAAGAAGATGAAGATAAAATAAACCGGGCTACAGATGTTAGGTCTGTTAAAAAGAAAACAACAGGCCCCAAATGCTGTCACTTAGGCCAAGTCCACAAGTCAGGGCTTAATACCTAATCTAACTGCAGTTTCAACCTCCCCCAGAAAGGTAGTCTTACCAGTCAGTCAGGAGTTTACTGATCACCGAAGAGTGTGCCACAGGGACCCTCTTCACCCCCCAGGGAAAGATGAAGTAATCTGCATGATAAGACCCCTGCTTTTCCCACAAAGGAAAACTGACCTTGCCTGGAACAATGTTTTCTGTTGCTAGTAACTTTCTTGCCCCCACCTTGCTGTAAAAACCTTCCATTTTGTACAAATTCTCAGAGCCCCCCTCTACTTGTTAGACAGGATGCTGCCTGACTCATGAATCTTTTTTTTAAAAGACTTTATTTATTTGAGAGAGAGCGAGAGAGAGCATGAACAGGGGTCAGCGGCCGAGGGAGAAGGAGAAGCAGACTCTCTGCTGAGAGAGACCCTGGGATCATGACCTGAGCCTAAGGCAGACTCTTAACCGAATGAGCCACCCAGGTGCCCCTAAGTGCTTAATTATTGTTAAATATTATTTCTGAAAGGCCCACTAGGAGTATCTAGCACAGTTACAGTTTCTAGCCTTGCTAAATTGAGAATGTTTTAGGGCTGTCTATATCCTGGATCCTTTTCTAGGTCTTTCTTAATTTAAGAATCTTGAGAAACCAGAATTCTCTTCCTTGGCCCAAGCAGACACTCTCCCAACCCAGTAATCCTGAGGACAGAGACCGGGGTAGAAACTGATCTAAGCCACATCCCCAGTGTCCAGCCAGGGCCTGAAAAAGAAATGTTTGTGAAAGATTAATGCAGTAGTATCTCTAGAATTGTGATATGGAAATGACTTAGAGGTGATCATCTGATTGGGACTGAAGATTAGAGAGCCTGAATTGAGATTGCATTTGCTCTAGGAAATGTGCCTGGGTGGCTCAGTTGGTTAAGCGTCTACCTTTGCTCAGGTCATGATCTCAGGGTCCTGGGATCAAGCCCCAGGTTGGGCTCCCTGCTCAGCGGGGACCCTGCTTCTCCCTCTGTCCCTCCCCCCTGCTCATGTGTGCGCTCCCCCCCACCGCCCCGCGCTCTCTCTCTGTCAAATAAATAAATAAAATCTTAAATTTTAAAAAAAAGGAAATGATGGTGATCAAAGAGATGTGCTAGGGGCACCTGGGTGGCTCTGTCGGCTGAGTGTCCGATTCTTGATTTCGGCTCAGGTCATGTCTCAGGGTCATGGGATCAAGCCCCGCGATGGGCTCCCACTCAGCAGGAAGTCTACTGGAGATTCTCTATCTCTCCCTCTACCCCTACCCCTGCTTGCACACTCTCTCTCTCTCAATAAATAAATAAATAACATCTTCAAAAAAAAAAAAAGAGAGATGTGGCTAATGTCCCCTCATGTCAGCCCTTGAAATCACCAATGAATGAATATGTGAATGTATGAATATGTGAATAAATGAGTGAATGAAGATAGCAGAGCTCAAGCTCTGTCTCAGTAGATACCACCACTGGGATACAATCTCCAAGCAATGGAGGAGGAATCTCAAAATGGGACCTGAGATGGACTAATTCGAGGTAAATTGGGTATTAATGTATCTTTTTTATCTGTTGACACCCCTAACCTGGAGAAGTCTGCAGTCTCTCAGTGGAGAGTCTGCTTCTCCCTTTCTCTCTCCCTCTGCCTCTCCCCCTGCTCATGCTCTCTCTCTCTCAAATAAATAAATAATCTTAAAAAAACCCACAATAATTAAGCACTTAAACACAGAAATGTTTCCTGATTTACATGCATCTAATACTGATTCTGTCCCTAATATAGAGTGAAACACTTTACAAACACACTGAAACATTTGCATGTGACTATGCAGAGAGGTCAATCTTGACTTCACAATATCTAATTGTGACTCCACAGAGAACTTGCCCAAGATCACACTGTTAGTAAGTGGGGAAGACAGGATTCCCACCCTGCTGCTATGGCCCTAGGCCCTAGGCCATGTACTCTTTTTTTTTTTCTTAACCACCATTCTGTATGAGTTGTTGGTGCTACTAGTTTAACTTGTCCTCCCATTCTAGAACCCTCTGCCATGCAATAATTACTTTGGAGGAGGAGTCCTCCGTGACATAAGGAAAATAATTCTTGACTGAGTAGTCTGTTCTTTTCCCAGCTCAGTTGATTAGCCCTGTGAACAAGGACAAGGGTCTTAACCTCATTACCTCTCAGTTCCCGCATCTAAAAAATGCTGACGTAGAAATGAATGGTCTCAAAAGTTCCTTTCATTCCTAAAATTCAAAGTTTTAAGAAAAAAAATATGTTCAGAATTAAGGAGCATATATTTTAAATTAAGGAGTACGTCATAGTTTAAATTACAAGTCTTAGTCTATAATGAAATGTTTGAGCCTGAGTATACCTTAAAGAAACCCTGTAGGATTTGTGTTTGTTCTTCCTAGAGGGCTTTAAAACATTGGATTTTGGTAAAATCTCAACTATAAAATGATCTCATTTCATTCACCCTTTTCAAGAGGATGAGTCCAGCTCTGGCCATCCTCGGACTCATGAAGCTCCTCTCCTGAGGCTGAGCAGACAGAGGTCACTTTCTGCTGTGGCATGTGGACACCTCTCTTGACATTATGACATGTAGGTAGTGGTGATGGCCAGGGTGGATGGGAAATGGAGAATAGCGGAATGCAGGCAGGTAGGAGTAAGATGGGTGGCAACAGAGGAGAGAGTGGGACCCACCTGACAGAGTGACACCTCCAGCTGCCCAAGCTCATGATCAGTGTTGACTTTGCATAAGGGAATCAAGCTTCACACATATTAGCATGGTGGTTCCCAACTTAGACACAACTTGTACTAACACCCTTCATCTGGCCTTAATGCCACTTCTTTCTTCTTCTCTTGCTCCAACTCTCAACTTCACGTGCTCAAACTGCTGCCTAGACAATATCTCAGAGCTGAGGGATCCTTGCTTGGACAGGAGTGGGGACAGAATGGGGTTGCAAAACAGAGTCTGATTTCTTGAGCCTCTTAAGCTAGGAAAGACCAAGAAAAAGAATCCAAGATGATGACATCTAAATAATCTCAGTTGTATGAAGCTGGACCCTGACACTGTACTAAATACTCATAGTGTTGATAACTAACATTCATTGAGAGCTTACGAAGTGCCAAGTATTGTACCTATATGTACTAACCCACTGTCACCCCATCAACCCTGTGAGATAGAAACTGATATCCCTGTTTTATAGATGAAGAATCTAGGCGGAGAGAAGTTAAATAAGAACTGTGTTACAAAGTCAGGTGGGCTGGTCAATGCTCCTAACTGCTGCCCTATGTTGCCTGGCTGCACAACTCTTCCCTGGAAACCCAGAATGCATCTTACAGATAAGGAAACTGAGGCCAGCAATGTTAAGAAGCTTGTCTACATCCATGTAGCTTAAAGGAGCTGTCAAGAAAACCCAGTGGCTCAGTCAGTTAAGCGGCCGACTCTTGGTTTCAGCTCAGGTCATGATCTCAGGGTCTTGAGATCGGGCTCTGCAATGGGCACAGAGTCTTCTTGAGACTCTCTGTCCCTCTCCTTCTGCCTCTCTCCTCTGCTCTCTCTCAAATAAATAAATCTTAAAAGAAAAAAAAGAGGACGGCTGGGTGGCTCAGCGGGTTAAATGTCTGCCTTTGGCTCAGGTCATGATCCCATGGTCCTGGGTTGAAGCCCTGCATCAGGCTCCCTGCTCAGCGGGGAGTCTGCTTCCCCCTCTCCCACTGCCCCCTGCTTGTGTTCCCTCTCCCCCTATGTCTCTCTCCGTCAAATAAATAAATAAAATCTTTGGAAAAAAAAAAAGAATGCACACAACTGGGGCGCCTGGGTGGCTCAGTTGGTTAAGCATCTACCTTTGGCTCAGGTCGTGATCTCAGGGTCATGGAGTCCAGTTCCACATCAGGCTCCCTGCTCAGTGGGGGGTCTGCTTCTCCTTCTCCCTCTACCTCATCCCTTGCTCATGCTCTCTCTCTCAAATAAATAAAATCTTGAAAGGAAGGAAGGAAAGAAGGGAGGAAGAAAGAATGAAAGAAAAGAAGAAAGAAAGAAAGAAAAAAGAAAGAAAGAAAGAAAGAAAGAAAAAAGAAAGAAAGAAAGGAAGAAAGAAAGAAAGAAAGGAAGAAAGAAAGGAAGAAAGAAAACCTTGAAACTCCTAGCTTCTACAACAGTAATTCTTCTCCTATCTTTTGCTGACTCTGACTGGATTGGGCACTGGGGACATGAAGGGGAAGTGTCTTGAGTTTCTAATTCTTGCTTCATGTAGAAGCTGTTCCATGTCCTTGCTAGTTTTGTTGCCCAGCTCTGGGAGGTTCTGGCTTTCCTGAGATGTGGCATGCAAATCATAGTCTGGCTAAATATCTCCATCAGCAGGGCCCAGGTAAAGGCCTACTGTCCTTCCTAAAACAGTTTACCCACTTTAAAAAAAAACCAAAAAGCCATTCCTCCTCAAGGATAAAAACATCTGCTACCCTGAGATGAACTTGCCCCAACTCTGATGAGCTTTTCTTTTTTCAAGGTATCACACACACACACACACACACCACAGAGTGCAGGCTCTTGAACCAGACTGAGAAAGGCCTAATCCCAGCTCTACCACTTAGTACTGGGGGGACAAGGGAAAGTGACTTAGCCTTTATGTGCCTCAGCTTCTTCCTCTGAAAAATGAAAATCAACCTCACAGGGTAGTTGTAAGGACCTACTGGGAATTAATACTTGTCAAGCATTTAATGTTAGCTGTTGTTAACAGGCAACATTAGTTCTGCAAAATTAACTCACCCTGAGAGATGGCTCATAAACGTCTTGCTAAGAAAACTTTAAAAATCTTTTAAGTCCAATCAGTGTGTGGCAATTACATGTCTGAAATGGTCCAAGACAGTCCAGCATGAACTTTAGTATTCCAAGATCCGGACTTTTCGGTCTTTCTCTCAGTGTAATCTGAAGATACAGCCTTCATTCTTCTAGAGCATCCTGGAGGTGACTATTAAAATGAAACACACACATAAAATAACACAACATAACATAACATAACGTAACATAAAAATACACACACATGTACTACCTTCTTGTTAGGAAAAACAATCATTTTCAAAGGTAGTATACTTATAGGAAAGTATATTAAGAGAACAGATAGCCCTCTGTATATATAAGGATCAGTACAGAGACCCAGGTGCACAGTGAAGGGGGTCCGGCACATTACTGTTTAGCCACACTGGCATCTGTTTGTTGAGCTAGACCCAAGCTTCTAAGCTTACCGAGCTCATTATCCTGTATGCATAACTGGCCCAAACTCTGAAGTTGCAGCCTTTTTTTCTTCTTTTTCCCTAAGCAAGATTAGATTCTGCCACAAAATATCCCTTATCCCCTATGTTAATTTCTGTGAAGGAATGACTGCAAGTATGGGTTTGCATAACTCCCTGTCCTGTACCCAGTGTCCAAGAAGTCAGGGGATGAGGGTGAAAGATTTGTTCTCCAGGTCATGTGAATTTCAACATTTCTGTGTGTCTTCAGAAAAATTTCTGCATGCCTTGTTTTAATCAAATAAAACATTTAGGTACATGTACATTGTTCTTTGTTTTGATTGATATGTTAACATATTATAAAATATGCCAAACAAAATCATGATAAACCTGTTAACTCAGAGGTGTTTAGCCCTCTCAATTAATTCATATCGATTTGTTTCAAATGCTTCATTTTCCTGATTAGATGGCAAAAATAGTTTGAGAAACTATCAAAATCAATCACCACTTGAAATGTATAGCGTAGGCCTTCTAAAAATGAAGCTATACCTATTTATGAGTTGAGAACCATATTATGGTTAAATCAGATAAGAGATAGGAAGCTGCAGTCAAATTTATTACATTCCATCTTCCTGAATAGCAATTTAAATTTAAATAAATTTTATTTAAATCAATTCCATCCTAAAGTATGTGCATCAGTGCAATCATGAATTGAAGAGGGAGCAGATTTGGGTAAATAGTACTCGGAGATTAGTAGGATGAATTAAAAAAAAAACTGTCATCTTGTTCTGATTAGTCAAAGAAAACATCAAAGAATAACTTACCATTTGGAGAAGTCTGTGATATGAAAAGTGACTTCGTGACCTCATAGAAGGGATATAATAGGAAGAAAATTTTCAAACTAATTTTGTCAAATCAATCCTACCAGATTTTCTAGACATTATATCAATTCATTTTACTTGGTGCTAATCAACTTTTATTATTTTAACAAGGGTAATAAGAAGAAATCCAAATATAGATTTCCAAGAAGTTAAATGAATTATTAATCAGCATTGTGAAATTTCAGCTTGTTTCCTTGTCATCAGCCTACATTTCAAATTCATATTTTCTAATATGCTTCAGGTTTTTATTCTAAGAAGCCATATCATCAAAATCAATAATTAATCCATATAAAATAGTTACATGAAGTTCTGACTCCTAGAAAAAATTCAGAGAGAAATTATTTGGACATAAAGAAGCCACTTTCTCGAGGCAACAAAATTTCTGATTTCTACTCTGCCACAGTTACAGACTGAGTATGGATATTTATAAAATTAAATGGATATAATGGCATTTTTCTTTATCATCAGCACCAGAATCTTCTTTCATTGAATTTACTTCCATTCTCTTGCCTGCCTCTGACCTGATCATTCTCTGATAGCAAAGACAGTTTTTTGTTTGTTCTGGGTGTGGTCTCATCCATGTTGGGGAGAACAGCCGAGCAAAGCAGGATGCACGTGTATGACCAAAGCAGACGAATGCTAGCAATTTTATGGGTTTTCTACTCAGTGGTGCTTCATTTTAATTTCCTGTGATTTATGTCTTAATCCTTAATTGCTCCATTTTGCAATCAGCCACCAGCTGCAGATAATGCAGGTCACAGTCACCAGATTAGTCAGCCTCACACTCCTGAGACCATTCTGCACATTTGCCAACAGCGTTCAGAACAGAAGCCACTAAAGGGTCACACTAGGCAGATAGTTGGGTAAGAAAAGCTGGTTTTAAAGCCATGGTTCTCATAGTGTGATCCCTGGGCTAGCCGCTTCAGCATCACATGAGAACTTGTCAGAAAAGCAAATTCTTTAGCCCCACCCCAGACCTAGTGAATCAGAAACTCTGCAAGTGGGGTCCAGCAACCTGAGTTTTAACAAGCCCTACAGGTGATTTTGATACACACTGAAATTTGAAAGCCATTGAATTAGACTGATTCTCTAACGTCATGATGTTTTTTAAATGGATGATGTGTTGTTTTTATCATAATGTTTCAAAGAACCCAAAATAATGTTCACATTACATTGTTTTGTATATAGCTATGAAAAATTAGGGGAAAGGTATTTGGGCATTTGTGGGTATTTTTTAAAGAGCATAATATTTTAAAACACAACCAAATTTATTTATATTTATAGGCATGGAGTTTTGGTAGAGAAAAGATGTGAATCCCTTTTCTAAGACCTACAACCCACTGAGGCAAAGACTCTGTGGGAAGCAGTTTCCAGACACTTGTATCACCATCATCACAATGAGGTACACTCATCCATCCATCCAGCCAGCCAGCCAGCCAGCCATTCAATAGAAAACCTGAGCTCATCTGTGCCTGGTAAAAATCCTTGCCCTCACAGAGTTTACATCATTGCTTCACCAGGCCAGGAGGAGTCAGGACTGACCTCCCAGGGCAGCTTAAATTGAGGAGCATGCATGTTTAGTGAACATAGGACAACCACAGCCTTCCCCACTCCCATCCTTTTCCCCACTCTTTTCCTTTACTGGGATCTCCCAAAAGGGTGTAGATGCCAGCCTCCAGCATGGAATTTGGCATAATCAATATTGACTACTGCATTTAGAGAACTATTATGAATGAATTCAAGAATTAATGAATGAAAAAACAGGTGCACCTGGGTGGCTCAGTCATTGGGCGTCTGCCTTCGGCTTGGGTCATGATCCCGGGGTCCTGGGATCAAGCCCTATGTTGGGCTCCCTGCTCGGCGGGAAGCCTGCTTCTCCCTCTCCCACTCCCCCTGCTTGTGTTCCCTCTGTCACTGTCTCTCTCTCTCTCTCTGTCAAATAAATAAATAACAAATAAATAAATAAATAAAGATACTGATTTAAAAAAAAAAAGAATGGGGGCACCTGGGTGGCTCAGTCGTTAAGCGTCCGCCTTCGGCTCAGCTCATGATCCCAGATCCTGGGATCGAGCCCCACATCAGGCTCCGTGCTCAGCAGGAAGCCTGCTTCTCCCTCTCCCACTCCCCTTGCTTGTGTTCCTTCTCTCGCTGTGTCTCTGTCAAATAAATAAATAAATCTTAAAAAAAAATTTATAAAAAAATAAAAAATAAAATAAAAGAATGAATGAAAAAACATAACAAATAATGAGTACTTTTCCTCTTTATCAGACTTTTTAAATTTTTAAAATCTTATTCCTTGCCTGGGTATAGTCTGTTGTTGTTGTTGTTGTTGTTTTTAAATGTTTTATTTATTTATTCATGAGAGTCAGAGAGAGAGAGAGAGAGAGAGAGAGAGGCAGAGGCAAAGGGAGAAGCAGGCTCCCCGCCTAGCAGGGAGCCCGATGCGGGACTCGGTCCCAGGACCCTGGGACAATGACCTGAGCCGAAGGCAGACGCTTAACCATCTGAGCCAACCAGGCGCCCTAGTCTGTTGTTATTGAGGGATTTTTGGTTGTTGTTTTATATTTTTAATGAGAATAGTGTTATTTTTTTTTTTAAGATTTTATTTATTTATTTGAGAGAGAGAGAATGAGAGACAGAGAGCACGAGAGGGAGGAGGGTCAGAGGGAGAAGCAGACTCCCTGTTGAGCAGGGAGCCCGATGCGGGACTTGATCCCGGGACTCCAGGATCATGACCTGAGCCGAAGGCAGTCGCTTAACCAACTGAGCCACCCAGGCGCCCCGAGAATAGTGTTATTTTTATGGGAGTATTTTATGGTAATATAAATACATAGAACTACTTTTTCTATAAAATAAATTTAGGCCATATAGTAGCTTCCAATAAGAGATAAATATATAACACATTTATTGGGATAGAAATATAATACCGAAACCATAAAAACAAGGAAGAAGCATATACTCTAGCCCCAAAGGCTAGCACGGTAACTGCGCATGATTATTAATTCTATTTCTGCCAACCAGAAAAGGAAGAGTATACAATGTATTGCTCTTAGAGTGGGAAATGAGGAAACCAGTTTTTCAGAGGGTTTTTTTCCCCTAATACTAACCCCTAAGATAAAATAAACCCATCATGTGATACCTTATGTAAGGAGATGTTGTAGGATATGTTTTATAGAAAATCTGGTCCTTGCACTCTCTAAAAGATAAACTTAGGGGGCACCTGGATGGCTCAGTCAGTTAAGCGTCTGACTGTTGGTTTCAGCTCAGATCATGATCTCAGGGTCATGAGATCGAGTCTGTGCTCAGCGCAGAGTCGGCTTGTCCCTCTCCCTCTGCTCCTCCCCCGGCTTGCTCGCTCTCTCTCTTGAATAAATAAATAAAATCTTAAAAAAAAAAAAAAGGATAAACTCAATAATGGGGGTTCCAGAGAGGACTAAGTTAATGTTGCATAAATACAAATACATAGCTTTACAATAATCTAATGTGATACAAGGATGGATCTTAAGTCACCAAAAAGGAGATGGATAACAAGTCCTTTAAATAATCCTGGTAAGTGTCACTTTTCTCTGCTTAGGTTTGAAAAGAGTGACATCATTATAATTCAAGGTTGTTCTCCACCTAAATTGTAGTGTTAGAATTTTATGCTGCTGACTGATAGAGGATACATAAATCTGTACATCAAGCAAGCCAGTGGCAAGGCTGCCATTCTAGTAAGCAAGTTGAAAACCCCGCCCCAAACTTTCTGCTCTGAGGGAAGGTGGACTGCAGAATACCTGAGCCACAGCCAGAATTTTTCTTCAAGAAACACCTTTGCCTCCCTTCTAGGACCTTGGTGAGGTCATGGGATTTATCTTCCTAGCAATCATGCTTGGGTAGGGCCTGACGTACGTAAGCTTGACCTGGAAATTCTTCAGAGCAGGTATCATCAATGTTGCCACTCAGCCATAAAAAAAAAAGTCCAGTACTGTTCCTGTGGAACATTTGATTCCGAACAGCATAATTTCCTGAAGTGCCTGCCAGAGTGAATTAGCTGCAAAATAGCCAGGCACCTGCATAACTTGACCTGCTACATGGAGCTCTTTGAATTCTGGTGAATGACTACAGAAGGCAGCAATTGAAACTTGAGCCATTCTTTCTGGCAGAAGTTAGGTAGTAGAAACAATTGTTTATAGAGATCCCCTCCCCCGAGCCCATAATACATGCTATTAAAACTACATCAAAATCACACAGAAGTATAGCTGTATGATTTGCTCTGGCAAAAAAACCCCCGTGTTCTAGTCATCAAAAATGGCCTCCTAGAGACTGTTGTTTGATCTCACAACCTTTTCTCGGCTCCCTTAAATTTTGAAAGGGCATCAAAAGGAAGGTATTTAAAGTCTCATAGTTAGGGATCTATATTAAGCCCTGTGACGACCAACAGTAAGGATTGCCTGGTGAGTGAACAGGTTTGAACTGGTTTGTAGGGCAAACCTTTTTTTCAGGGGGAAGGGCTACCCTCAAAGTCAGTTTCCCGCTAGTGGTGGGAGTGGTGACCCCTGCAAAGTCTCTAGGCTCTGGACAGCTACCACCTATGTTCAGGCTGCTTTTGCCAAGGCACATTTGTCCCTGAGCCATATGAGACACTGTTATGCTTGCTGCATAAAACAGGAGCCCAATGGCGGTCACGGTCTGCTGCCGCGGTAGGTCCCATGGTGGGTTCAGACACACCCCAGCCCAAAGTGCCTTTTTGCAAACACCGAGAGCCTGATGTACCTGCCAACCTGCTCAAAAATGGTGAGGCCTGGTGCTGATCCCACATTCATTGTGAGACCTGGCCTTATAAGCCATAAAATACAAAACTGAGTAGACTTGAGAATGTTCAGTCATTTTCTTAGACAAAACACAGAAGGAATCTCTGTTCTCCCCCCACAGTTATAGGCTAGAAGATGATAAATCTCTGTAATCCATCTCTGACATATTTTCACATAGATGCTATTTATAAAAAGTTGTTGTCAGTTGTGTTAAGTCTTTGCTTGATTTGGGTTCATCTCTTTGGTCGATTTATTTACATTAATGTTTGAATAGGTATAAAATTCAAAAAGTACAAAACGTAATAAAAAAAATCTTTCCTTCTTATGTGTTCTTATATATCCTCCCAAATATCCCATTATGATCTCCAGAAGTATCCACTGTTTCCAGTTTTCTTATGTATCCTTCTTAAGATTTTCTATGCATACATTTAAAAAAAAAAACCCACACACAACAAAAATAGCAGAGCATATACCTTTCCTGCTTCTTGATTCTTTTTACTCAACAGCATACCTTGACCATCACTTCATATTAGTATAAACAAATCTGCTGCATTCATTTTAAGATTTTATTTATTTATTTGAGACAGAGAGAATGAGAGCACATGAGAGGGGGGAGGGTCAGAGAGAGAAGCAGGCTCCCCGCCGAGCAGGGAGCCCGATGCAGGACTCGATGCGGGACTCGATCCCGGGACTCCAGGATCATGACCTGAGCCGAAGGCAGTCGCTTAACCAACTGAGCCACCCAGGCGCCCTCTGCTGCATTCATTTTAAAAGTTACATACTGTGGGATGCCTGGATGGCTCAGTCAGTTAAGCATCTGCCTCCGGCTCAGGTCATGATCCCAGGGTCCTGGGATTGAGCCCCACATCAGGCTCCCTGCTAGGCAGGGAGTCTGCTTCTTCTTCTGCCCTTCACCTCGCTCATGCACGCACTCTCTCTCTCAAATAAATAAATAAAATCTTTTAAAAAATAAAAAATAAAAAAATAAAAGTTACATACTGGGGCGCCTGGCTGGCTGAGTCAGTAGAGCGTTTGACTCTTATCTCGGGGTTGTGAGTTCGAGGCCCATGTTGGGTGTAGACATTTCTTAAATAAAAATCTTTTAAAATAAATAAATAAATAGAAGTTCCATAGCATTGCATCTCATGGTTAGACTCTTAACATTTAGGCTGTTTCCTTTGTATTATAAACCAAGCTGAGGTTAGTATCCTTGTATTTTTCTTGCCTGCATATGTGAATACATCCATGAGATCAATTTCTAGAAGTGCAATCACTAGTGAAAGAATAGGCCTGTGTTTAATGTTAATGACCGTTGCCAGATTGTCTCCCAGAGGGCGTAGTCATCACTCTCCCACTACCACTGTGTCTGAGTGCCTGTTTCTCCACTCTGCGACCAATCAAGTATGTTAGCAAACTTTGTTGTCTTGGCTAATTGGATAAGAGAAAAAAAAAATTTTTTTTTTTAAGATTTATTTATTTGAGAGAGAATGAGAGAGCACATTAAAAGGGGGAGTGTCAGAGGGAGAAGCAGACTCCCCGCTGAGCAGGGAGCCTGATGCGGGACTCGATCCAGGGACTCCAGGATCATGACCTGAGCCGAAGGCAGTCGCTTAACCAACTGAGCCACCCAGGCGCCCGAGAAAAATTTTTTATCTTTGTAGTTCAAATGAAAATTTTATTCCTCCTTTCCTATTTTTATACATCTTGTTTCTTTTCTTGCACTGCAATAGCTACTACCTCCAGAACCGTATAAAATAATCATGATGACCTTCGTGGGAAGGAGGCTGGTGTTTCCTATGAAGCATGATTTCAGCTCTCGGGTTGATACATAGGGTTATTTTGCCACGTTGAGGAGGTATCTATCCCCAATATTTTTATGTTATCAAGAGGTTTATTTTTATTTCTGTATTTACTGGGAATAGAACTTGAATTTTTTCAAATGCCTTTCAGCATCTGATTTTACTCTGTTTAACCCTTCTCACCCCAACTCAGCAATGTATCTTGGTATTTCTGTATTCAGTACCTCACTTGTTCTTGGCCATCCGATCAGCTACTTGCCTTCACCTCACACGGTAGTGCTCCACACAGATTCCTTCACCCACCTTCCAGGTGCTAACAGCTCATACCTGTATCCCTCCCTGTGAATTTTTCTAGGTCACAGGCACTGCCCAGTCCTAGCCCAAGGTTGTACCCCGGCTGGCTGATGCATAAGGGCAAAGAGGTATCCCCAAGGCCTCAATTCAGAGACCCCTCTAAAGAACCATCCCAGTTCCACAGCACCTCACGGAATAGGCTGAGGCCTGGGGTTGCAACTGCATCATGAGTCAGCTTCTCCCCGTGTCCCAGGTCTGCCTGCCCCACTGTTTACAGGTGTATCTCCTCAGAGTACTCCTTAATAAATCTTTCACCTGTGACTCTGTCTCCAAGTCTGTTCCCGAGGATCCCAATCTATGACAGAAAGAAACCTGTGAACCCCTTTGTGATAGATATTTTCCCCTTGTCCTTACAGATCTCCACTCTTTCCCACCTGACCTTCTGCCCCGGAAGGCTCACTTGTGTGGAAAACATTAACCGGGTTCCTTGCCCACTGGCTTTCTGTTGGATTTAGCCGCTGGAGTGCCACAGAAGATTTGAGGACGGGAGAAGAGTAAGGTTGGATATTTATTCCCTGACCCAAGTGGGATGTGTCATTTCCTTGATGGAGGGTCAGTGCTGCTGTCAAAGTGGCCGATTCTACATGACTGTCCTTTCGTGTTCTGGCAACATCTGCCTCCTTTTGTCCCCTCAAACCCAAAGATGGTGAAAACGTTATTGCCACTATCACGGGTGGTCCTCTACACCAGCCACAACTTTCATTTTTTTTCCAGCCACCCCTCTTAAACTAGTCTTCCTTGTGAATAAATGCTCCTTAAATTTTCCGGATTTGATTATGCCATCTTACTTCCTTTGGGGACTGAGATTAATACACACCCATCAGGTATAAGGAACAAGCTGAGTTCCCCCATGGCTTCCTCCCTGCAGTGGCAAAGTTTAAACACAGGACAAAGAAGAGGAGGCAAGTACATAACAGTAGTAGTAGCTAATATTTACCGAGCGCTTATTATGTGCCAGTAATGCGAAATAAACAACAAACCCGGGCTTAAGACAGACTTCATTTGAAAGGATTATTGCAAAGATGGGAAGTAGGGGAGGAAGGGGCTCTTGCAATAGAAGAGAGAATTCTCTGGCAATAAGATTTGCAAGTTTCTCAAGGGCGAGGCAAAATGGGTTTTTCTTTTACAGAGTGGGTAAACAGGCTAGAAGGAATCTGAAGTGGGCAAGTGGGATAAAAGGGTGAAGTGCCTGATCTGACAGTAGATTAGAGAATGTTTTACCCTGAGGTCCACCTATTTTTGGGAGAAGCTGTTAAGGAAGGGCTGCATGCTAGTACAGGCCAAGGATGAGTCAAAGTCCAGGGGCCTGGGGTAAAGAGACAATCCTAATCAACGTTTGTTTAACAAGCATTTTGTTCTGACTGATTAGTGGGGAGAAAACAGCTCAGCTAATTATTTATGAGACAAAGAATGGGAATTTGGAGGGTCTGTGTCTGGACTTTATCACAAGTAAACAAGGGAGCATTCATGAGTGTTAGGTAAGTCCTATGGGGTAACGATGGTTCTTTGCAAGAAACCATTTTCCAGAACACAGTGGGTGGGGGGATTTCTTTAACCATTGCTGCTTTCCAGGATCATAGGGCTCAGGTAAAATTCAACACTGTCAGCACTAGCCTAAGAGTTTTACATGCATTATCCTGTTTAATCCTCTCAACATCTCTGCTTACATAAGTCTATGGAATGGTTAAGAGGATACCAATAAGACAAACTCAGGCAAGGGCAACCTTCTCGGGTCCCCTCCCTTTTTGGGAGCTTTGTACTATCGCTCAGTATACTTTGCTTTGCTGCCCACCAAAAAAAAAAAAAAAAGACAAACTCGGGTAAGTTACTTACCTTCAGTCTCTTCTCTGTAAAAATAATGGTTCTGCAGCTCCTGATGTACAGCAAGTGTTCAACAAATGTTAACTATTGGGGCACCTGAGTGGCGCAGTTGTTAAGAGTCTGCCTTCGGCTCAGGTCATGGTCCCAGGGTCCTGGGATTGAGCCCCGCATCGGGCTCCCTGCTCAGTGGGAAGCCTGCTTCTCCCTCTCCTACTCCCCCTGCTTGTGTTCCCTCTCTCACTGTGTCTCTGTCAAATAAATAAATAAAATTAAAAAAAAAATGTTAACTATTATCACCATTATTATGCTCTTTTCAAATGAAGGAGGGGGAAGTGATTTATGTGGAGTGTTCCAATTGGATGGGGGCCCATGGCACAGGAAGTGAAAGAATTCACCCAAGACCCAACAAAAGAGAGAGAAGTTTATCGAATACCCTGCAAACAAGGAGCCACAGGACAGCTAAGGAGAGGTGTCTACCTCAAGGCGGTGGTGAGGGGCTATAGTTACAGGGTGCAGTGAAGGGGTATGGGAATGTAAGGAATTTTTCCTTTTTCGGTATTCTTAGAAACTGTGCCTGGTCGTAAGTAGCCCATCGATAAGTTAGGGCCTATGGGTATTTCAAGTGGGTCCCTTAGCGAGCCTGTTTGCATTCCATTTGGTGGTCACTGGCCTTTTTGCCTTGCTCAATTTTCCGTCGCTCAAACCTCTCGCCTAGGAGCAGCCTTGGGGCACCTGGGTGGCTCAGTCGGTTAAGCATCTGACTTTGGCTCTGGTCATGATCTCGGGGTCCTGGGATGGAGTTCTATGTCAGGCTCCCTGCTCAGCAGGGAATCTGCTTGTCCCTCTCCCTCTGCCCCTCCCCCTGCTTGTGCTCTCTCTCTCATATCAAATCATTTAAAAAAAATAAAATAAAAGTGGCCTCTACAATTTATCCAGTAAGTAAAGATTCAAACCGACCCAGAATTCTCTCCCTATTGCACTCCCCAAGTGGGGGGAAAAAAGACAAAGTGGAAGAAATGTTAAACAAAGCCAAGATGGATTTCCCAGAGTTACTGCCTACAATTCAGGAAAATAAGGAAGGAACTGAATCATTTTTTATTCTTCACTAACTTGAGGGATTTTTGAGGCGGAAGCAGAAAGAACATTCTTGCCTCCTAGAATTATCCTCTTGCTGCCTGTAGAATATGTGGTTACCCTGGGCTAGTACTGGGGCAGCAGCCAAAAGCCCCTACCTCACTCCCAATTTATCAAATCCCCAGAGTCTGCCCATTCTATTCTGGGCAGTCCTTTATTTCTAGATGGAACAAGGCCATAAAATTCTGCAAAACCGTTGTGATTTATTTTCTGCTAGACCAACCAGCAAGAGCTCTCTAAATACATTATTATTGTGGCCATTGTTACTGTTATTATGATCATATTATGAGTACTTTGGTAATTTTGCTTCTCTCTTGCTCTACCTTATTTTCTAGGGGGACTAAGATAGTAGCAATATGCAATCTCCTTCACCCTTTCCCTGAATCTGATCAAATTCTGCAAAATCTAGAACCTAAAAAGTGCTGCTTGGTTGGATATTGATAACAATAGGGAATTATTGCTAATTTTTTAGACATGATCAGTGGCCTACCTATTTCATTCGACATCTGAAGCTGATCATTTTTTTTTTTTAAGATTTATTTATTTATTTGACAAAGAGAGAGAGTTAGTGAGAGCAGGAACACAAGCGGGGGAGTGGGAGAGGGAGAAGCAGGCTTCCCGCTGAGCAGGGAGCCGGATGTGGGGCTCGATCCCAGGACCCTGGGATCATGACCTGAGCCGAAGGCAGACGCTTAATGACTGAGCCACCCAGGCGCCCCTGATCATTTTTTTTTTTAAGATTTTATTTATTTGTCAGAGAGAGAACGAGAGAGAGAATACAAGCAGGGGGAGTGGCAGGTAGGGGGAGAAGCAGACTCCTTGCTGAGCAAGGAGCTGGATACCGGACTCAATCCCACGACCCTGGGATTACAACCTGAGCCCAAGGCAGACATTTAACAGAATGAGCCACCTAGGCATCCCTGAAGCTGATCATTTTTTTTTTTTTTAAGATTTTATTTATTTGACAGAGAGAGACACAGCGAGAGAGGGGAACACAAGCAGGGGGAGTGGGAGAGGGAGAAGCAGTCTCCCGGCCAAGCAGGGAGCCCGATGCGGGGCTCGATCCCAGGACCCTGGGATCATGACCTGAGCTGAAGGCAGACGCTTAATGACTGAGCCACCCAGGCGCCCAAGAAGCTGATCATTTTTAAATCCCTAAATCTCTACATAACAAAATTATTTTCAGTAATAATCATGACATCAAACTGATAATAATGGCCAGAAAAATAGTGAATTTTTATTTTATTAAACTTTGGGTATATAAAACATGCCAGTAAGATTTAAAAAAAAAAAAATGAAACAGATTACATTAAAAAAGAAAAAAATGTAATGGATTAATTCTATGAATTACATTAATTTGTAAGGGAAAAAATTATACCTGAATATTGTGTATAATGTTATTTGAATAATAACATTAGAGTTTAATTGCAATTAAATAAGAATTCCAACTAAAATAAAGATATTATTCAACTTAACTGAGATGTTTTATGTATGAACTAAAACTTATTAGCCTTCTGCTCAAGAGTTCCAGTCTGCTCCAAGTCACGTGTTTCAATGTTTTCCACAAACCATTTGAGAGCTAGTCTTTATGAAACCAGGACTGGCCCATATCTGATTTCTGTCCACAAAACTAAAGCTGTTTAGATATTAGAAAATGTTGTAAAATTACCAAACAAAAATATTTCACCTTGCAGTTTGAACTCTGTTTTGCGGTTTTAAATTTTAAACCCAAATAATGACTCCAAGTGGTCACACAGAATAGCAGAATTGAAGTCATATTCTCTTTCTTCATCTTTACACTGACTATGCCAACGTTCATTTCAAATCTGTTTAGATGCAAGAATATTAGTACCTCCCAGGGGTTTCAGACACAAGCCATTTTTCCCTCATCAACCCTCCCAAACTAGCTCAATGATTCCAAACCATTAGGAATGCCAGGGGCCAGTTGTGTAACTGGGAATTCTCTATAACTACAATGTTTATTTTTAAAAAGGTAGTAAAGGGGTGCCTGGGTGGCTCAGTCAGTTAATCATCTGCTTTTCAGCTCAGGTCATGGTCCCAGGGTCCTGGGATCAAGCCCTAAGTCAGGCTCCCAGCTCAATGAGGAGCCTGCTTTCTCCCTCTCCCCACTGCTTGTGCTCTCTCTTTCAAATAAATAAAATCTTAAAAAAAAAAAAAAAAGTGGTAGCAAAAAGGGGCACCTGGGTGGCTCAGTCAGTTAAGTGTCTGCCTTCTGCTCAGGTCATGATCTCAGGGTCCTGGGATCGAGTCCTGCATCGGGCTCCTTGCTCAGCAGGGAGTCTGCTTGTCCCTCACCTTCTCCCTCTGCTCCTCCCCTCACTGGTGTTCTCTGTCTCTCTGAAATAAATAAAAATCTTTTATTTAATTTTTAAAGATTATTTATTTATTTATCTGAAAGAGAGAGAGAGAGCACAAGTAGGCAGAGGGAGAGGGAGAAGCAGTCTCCCTGCTGAGCAGAAAGCCCAATGCAGGACTTGATCCCAGGACCCTGGCATCATGACCTGAGCCGAAGGCAGATGCTTAACCCACTGAGCCACTTAGGTGCCCCTAAATAAAAATCTTTTAAAAAATAAATTAAAAAAGAAAAAGAAAAACAGGTAATAAAAAGTGCTAATTTGAAGCTTAAATATATATTATTCATTTGTATCCAGCAAGTATTTACAACTAAACAAAAATTTTTAGGGAGAAGTGTTTTATCATTGACATTGTTTAGAACTGCCAGCGCATGGTAGGTTTTTATCATGATTTTTTATCCTTTCAGACAATATACCGTTACTGCCTGCACCCAGGGCAGACCACTCTGCCGCCTCACTGTTACGTTAGCACAATACTGAGGCACAGAAACTGAAGGGACCCCATGAAAAAAAGCTGTTTTTCTTGGCTCCTTTTCCTGCTTCTATTCTTGTTAGGACCTGCACCCTTGTCTTAACACATGCCTTAATGTATGTCCTTAAAAAGGTCAAGGAGTTAATTTCTTTGGAGACTTCCAGCACAATAGATAACATCTATGGAGTGCCCAGGCGAGGTTATCATGAATGTTTTCTAAGACCACTGACTCCAAACACCTTGACACCAAGACCCCTGGCTCCAGGGCATAAGTGACTTAGGAAGGACACCTGAGTACTTGTCCTTCCTCAACCAGTTCCTAGATGCCTCAGAGGACTCCTATCCCAGACCCCCAAGCAAAGCCAAGACTCATGCTCCTTTTCCTTTCCGAGTTTCCTAGATACTGTTTCACGATTTCTCTTCCTTTAGTGCCTGAGGTTCTTGGTCATGCCACCTTAAAGAATGAAGACGTAGACCAGACGAAGAGCGGTGGGCAGCAAAGCCAAGTTCACTGAGCGATAGCACAGACCTCCCTAGAGAGTTGCCGTTCTGGCATTTAAATGTAGGGGTTTTTATGGGCTCTTTTGTGGAACTATCTTAAGCAACCAGGGTGTGGGCCCTCTGCGGATTGGTTGCTAAGGTGTGCCAACCGGGGCTTTGATCACACACCCATCTACCTATCAGGTTAATGTTCACAGGCTGATGGTCTTGTGGGCTGACATCTGGGACTTATGTCTTAACTGCCTCAGCTCGTGATAGTGACATAGAACCATCTTAAGCAACCAGGGTGTGCTAAGGGGTGCCAATCAGGGCTTTGATCATGCATTTACTTATTTGGATAATGTTCACTTGCTGGTGGTCTTGTCTAAGCTGCAAAATAGGATGTTAGTGCTGTTTCACCTTAGTTGTTCCGACTTCATGTTTTCTTGTTGGGGTCCCTGACTGTGATTACGTAACTGTCCAACTAACTCCCAACATCTGTATCTGCTCTCTCTATATTTTCAATAAACTCTGCTCTCAGTTCTTGCTGGTTTGAGGATGATTTCCATCCTGTGAGCCAAGGACCCTCTTGGCTGGTCCTGTGGAAGGCCCTCTGGGTCCTCAGACACAGCCA